CAACACACACTGTACTTCTAATGTTCACAGGGCACAGCTTGGCAAAGTAACACCAACATACACTGTACTTCTAATGTTCAACATACACTGCTAAATGTCACTTTGATGCCTAATGTCACCTTAACCCAAATGTCACCCAGATGCCAAATGTTACCTTGATGCCTAATGTCACATTGGTGCCAAATGTCACCTTGACAAATGTCACCATGGTCACCTTGATGCCAAATTTCACCTTGATGTCAAATGACACCTTGATGCCTCATGTCGCCTTGATGCCTAATGTCGCCTTGATGCCTAATGTCGCCTTGATGCCTAATGTCACCTTGATGCCTAATGTCACCTTGATGCCAAATGTCACCTTAATGCCAAATGTCACCTTGACAAATGTCATCATGGTCACCTTGATGCCAAATGCACTGTTTAATCCTGATCCATGCATATGTTGAAGACAGTGTCAATAGGTTTTCTAAAAAATATATTCAAAGCAGTGTTAATTTTGTCCCAAAGCCATCCTACGTTGCAGTTCCCCTGTCATATACACCATCTCTCTATCAAACATTATGGTCTGACCTGACATTGTCGTACCATGTCTAAGCATGATAAGTGAAGTGAAGATTAAGACCACAATATTCATGACACTGACACTGTGTATGTGCCATAAAAGTGATGCAGGAATATATTTGCAATATCATCCCAATTTACAACAGGACGTTAACAGTGTTATACATGTGTAGTCTTGCATTACATGATAAGCATGACAAGTGTACAACATGTAAAATGTAAAATTGCAACAACATTCCCATGCTTACACTACAAATGTTGTAACAGTTACCACTAGCATATTGCCAATATTAAAATCTGTTCATTACAGTTCATATAGTCATGATAGATGTGAGTACTGTTTCACAATAGACAAAGCATTTTTATGTATATCTTCATCTTTCCGAGGAAAGGTATATTTTTTACATTTGTTTACTTATCCTGCATTAATGCATTTACTGCTGGTTTTTTTTACGGAAAGACGAGGTCTGGCTGCAGAAGAAGTTGTTTCAACTAGTTGTAAGGCAAATACCCTCACACATCTGCCACGTGATCCCGGAAGTGGAGATCTCTTGTATGAAAACGTTACTGCTTGAACATAACATCTGAAGACTTCGCTGGGAGGTAGCGCTGCGATTGGAGGGTACTTAGATGAAGCAATGCAGGATAAGTATACAAATGTAAATTTTAGATTTTACTAATTTTTTTAACTTATCCTGCATTACTCTTCAATGCATCTTTATCAGACAGTACGGCAGGTGGGCATACCTTTAGATATGACCCAAAATAAATAACCGTCAAGGTCCAAGTAACCAGTACAGCATCCTGCATGATGACCGGAAAACAATGACCATTCCTGTCAGAAGGAAAACAAGAGTGTGAGGGATGCCGGAAGTCCAGGTAACAGTACAGTAGTAGATAAATGCGAGAACTAAGGTCTGGAACTGCGCACTGAGCTGATGCTAGTAGCATGTAAACCTTCTAGTCTGGGGTGACAAGCACCAAAGAGGTTGACAGGTCAGCTCTGGGCATAGGGAAGCGTCAATGGCGCTTGGGGTTGGTGACCTGCTGGACAACAGCCAAGGGTCCCAAAGCTGCGGACGCCCTCCACGTCCTCTATGGGAATATTTCTCCGGTAGTGGCTGGCGACCGCCATAAGCAAGCTTCCATGATGGGTTAGACAGAGTAGTTGCTGTGGAAAGTCATGGTGGAGGCAATAGCTTTGATCTTGTTGATCAGCGTCAGAGAAAAGACCACAGTGCACGAACCGGGCATAGGTAGAGTTCCTGCTCATCCACTATCGAAGAGAGAGGTGTGATGGTGAAGGATCAGTCTGGCTGCCCTGCGAGTTGATTCTTGGCTATGAAATCCCATCGCAGGCCAGGACGAACAGCACTGTACACCCTGAGCTCAAATCGGGCAAGGGTGATGTCAAACGCATGTAGCTTGTTCCCCCTTGCTGCAGTAGCCCGAGCTAAGAGGAAGACAGACTTCTTGTAGGTTTACTTCTAGGTTTCTTGGAGGTTGTAAAATGAAGCTGAGTGAAGTGGCTCAAATGGGGCATCAGGCAACAACTTGTGAGCCACGTTCAAATCCCATGCCGGGGGTCTTTACTTGGCTTTCTGATCCTCCAATCTGAAGAAGCAGAGCAAAGTTTGGAGTTCCAGAATCTTAGTCATTCTGCAATCTTCCAGGACTGCAGAAACTCTCAAAGGATCGCCACTTGTCGTCGTAAATTCCCCTGGTGCCTAAGGCCCTTTACAGATGTACCGAGAGATGAAAACCAGTCTGTTTGGCCTGCCTGGTAATTTGAAGAGGTCGTCTCTGGACATGTCTTTGAGGCATATGGGTCTGTTTGGGTGGCCGAGATGATGGCAAAGCAGGTTGAAGGTGTATGGGAGGAGGTAAAAAAGTGTATTTGCCACACAACTAGTTGGAACAACTTCTTCTGCAGCTTGACCTCTCACAGTTTTGTCTTTCTGTAAAACAACAGCAGTAAATGCATAAAATAGCAATGCAGGATAAGTTAAAAAAATTGACTTTTACAGTCAGTTAACTCCCTTTCCCTGTGAAGATGGTATTTCTTCTATCATATAATGTGTGTCATGGTACATGGTTAAGAAAAGAAGCTAACATTGCAAACGGAAGTACATCCTTTTTGGCCACAGCCATTAATCCACCTCGACACATTATTGGCAACTTCGCTAGTTGACATGACATGTAATCTACAAGTCACCGAGCCTGACCAATGGATATATATAGCTGTCTTTTACAACTAGCATAGGTTGCTTAGACCTGTTCTGAAGGGTAAATTTTCAAACCAACTAGCCCATGAAACATGTAGTGCCTGCAATGACAATTTAACAATAAACAACCATCATAAATACACTGAAACGTGAGAAAAGCACTGCCACTGATATAATTAAAATATTACATATCCCACTGATGAGGTGATGTCTGGTTCCAGTATGGCATCATTACATATCCCACTGCTGTGGTGATGTCTGGCTCCAGTATGGCATCATTACATATCCCACTGATGTGGTGATGTCTGGTTCCAGTATGGCATCATTACATATCCCACTGCTGTGGTGATGTCTGGTTCCAGTATGGCATCATTACATATCCCACTGCTGTGGTGATGTCTGGCTCCAGTATGGCATCATTACATATCCCACTGCTGTGGTGATGTCTGGCTCCAGTATGGCATCATTACATATCCCACTGCTGTGGTGATGTCTGGCTCCAGTATGGCATCATTACATATCCCACCGCTGTGGTGATGTCTGGCTCCAGTATGGCATCATTACATATCCCACTGCTGTGGTGATGTCTGGCTCCAGTATGGCATCATTACATATCCCACAGCTGTGGTGATGTCTGGTTCCAGTATGGCATCATTACATATCCCACCGCTGTGGTGATGTCTGGCTCCAGTATGGCATCATTACATATCCCACTGCTGTGGTGATGTCTGGTTCCAGTATGGCATCATTACATATCCCACCGCTGTGGTGATGTCTGGCTCCAGTATGGCATCATTACATATCCCACCGCTGTGGTGATGTCTGGCTCCAGTATGGCATCATTACATATCCCACAGCTGTGGTGATGTCTGGTTCCAGTATGGCATCATTACATATCCCACTGCTGTGGTGATGTCTGGTTCCAGTATAGCATTATTACATATCCCACTGCTGTGGTGATGTCTGGTTCCAGTAAAGCATCATTACATATCCCACAGCTGTGGTGATGTCTGGCTCCAGTATGACATCATTACATATCCCACTGCTGTGGTGATGTCTGGCTCCAGTATGGCATCATTACATATCCCACTGCTGTGGTGATGTCTGGCTCCAGTATAGCATCATTACATAGCCCACTGCTGTGGTGATGTCTGGCTCCAGTATAGCATTATTATATATCCTACTGTCCAGCTCCAGTGTAACATGCCCATGCTGTGGCTGTGACCGTGACTGGCCCATGTGTAACATCTTTGAAACCCCACTAACAAAGTAACATAGTAGATGCAATTCTACATCCATGCCACATGTGCACAAGGGAATATTGTCTGTGAGTTCATATTGGTTATAGAACATAACGTAAGGATGGGTCAACATGGTCCATCACTGGTGACAGAACATGTTTAACAATGATATGTTAATTACAAATGACCAGTTCTGGGGGTGGCCACCCCCATTATCTTTTCTTCACATTTGATGACATTATGTATGCATTTTGCCTACCATGATAACATGTTGATTTGGTAGTTATTGCAAAATTTATATTGGTTGACATTATGTGTTTGTGATTTTTGGGGTAGGCTTTGAGTTAACTCCACCTACACACCTACCTACCCCCCCCCCCCCCCCCCCCCACCCACATGTGTCTTAATGTCATATAAGTTATCCCATCAATGTGTCAGGTGCAGCACCTTGCAGGTATTACAATGCACATCACAGAAACAAGGCTTCCCTCACTTTGTACGATGTCTGCCACATGCACACACTAATCTCACCAATCCGTGATGGCGGGGGTATACCTACACTAGACTACTAGGGAGGGACGGGGAAGAGGGGGGAGGGAGAGTGACGGTACCTCTTAGTCTATATCATTGTTTTGCGGGTGAGATCAAATGATTGTGATTCCATGACAATGAACATTGATGAACTACACTACTGCACCAATCTTCACTTTGTACGCGAATATGGTATATGTGCATGTATACTAGATGTATAGGTCGGACATTGTGCGTGAGTCTATCTGTCTCGTCTGACTCACACAGCAGAACTGGGAAACTTTCACTGATGAATATTGTTCATTGGAAAGTCTCTAATGTTACGTAAACATACGTCAGAAATAAGCACAGCCAGCATATTAGCATGCGCTCATGTATGGCTTTCTACGTGACGATCAATGATAACTATAGCACAAAAAATTCCACAAATTCCAGTACTCACGAAAGATGTTTCACCGTTTTCAGCCAGTCGCCACTTCCTTCCCTCCTTGTAACGGAGAGCGCAAAACCTCGCTGAGAGAGTGTTGCGTTTTGGCGCTGAGCTCACATTTATTTTCAAGTCCTCCGTGATATCAAAAGTATCTTCGCCTTGCCTGTTTGGGGGCTTGAACAGGTGGCTATTAAAATTAGGAATTATCCATGTTTATAACACTAGCTGTCTCTTGGAATGTCCACATAACGCCTAAAGGTGTGAAGGAAATCTATTAGGCCTAATACTTATATATCAAGGCCGTAGTTAATTTTTTTTTACAGGGGGAGTCGCAAATAAGATTATTCATTTCTTATTCAAGTTAACTTTCACAAGGAAAAACGTTTTCTATCAAAAATCCAAGGGGGCAACAAAGCTTTGTTTAGCGGTAGCGAGAACTAAGATATGATTTTAATGAGATTGAAACTATCTTAGTATCGACTCGATCCGTGTCTTGGCTGACAGTGACCGTCTCCAGCAATCTATGAATTTACCTTAGTGTCTGTTTGACGCATCTTTAATCACCTTTCAATGATCGGCCAGTTGATCAATGATGACTAACACATGTAACCGCCACAGGTTCATTAACAACTTCGGAAATCTTTCCCGTCACGTTTGTCGTGTCGGCCATTTTGACGTCTTGATGTAAATGTATTACGACGCGCTGTCATTGTGACTCACTTACTGAGGTAGTTCTTTACAGACCTTTCTCATCTAATGGTAATATTATTTGCACATATGTGGTGTGTAAGATGTTTCTGAAGAGCAAGTTATGCATCCATACGCTCATGTCACCTCTCTTTTTGAGGAACTATTTTATTCCGCGATATAGCTGGTTGTTGTATGGCTGTCAGTGTTGACATGAAGTCACACGTACTAAATAAAATTGTTTTTAGATCTTGGCCTACATCCTCTGAGGTAAGAAATTGTGATAATAAAAATATAAGAATTGACTTCCACTTTGTGTGAGTTCATTGGAGTATGAACCTTCATAGCGTGAGGGCCAAACATTGTATGAACGTCGTCGCAAGCCCCGACGTTCGTACGGTTTGGCCCTCACTCTATGAAGGTTAATTCATACTCCAATGAACTCACACAAAGCGAAGGTCAATTCTTAATTCGTTTTCTTCAGTTTCCTTCTTAAAATGACGATTGGGAAAAGTTTAGTAACCCGAAACTCTGAATGACGGATTATCTGTCCCTCGCCGAAAGCTTTCACTATTTATTCACCAAGACAGATAACTCGTGATTCCTCATAGGGGGTTGGTTAGTCTTTAAAGTCCTCAATGTGTTGCTAATAAATTTACTAATTACGTAATGTTTTTAAGAAAGGCCAAGGTTGGAATAAATAGATACGGGGTTAACAAATATACTGAAATGCTTTTGCATCAGTACTGTGTGATCACGTAGGGATTTTCGGGTAAGGAAACCTATGCTTGTCCGAGGCGATTAAATGAATCTGATGGTCAGGCTCGGTGACTTGGTTGATTTCGTGTTATCGTTTCCCATAAGTGGATCGATGCTCATGACGTCAATCACTTGAATGTCTAGTCGACAGACTCGATTAGTAACAGGCCGCCGACGTATAGCTGGAATATTCCGGAATACGGCGTAAAAACCAAACAAACAATACTATATATTTTGGGATTTTTTTTGGTTGTTTTTTTTTTACACAAACAATACTATATGTGATGTATATTTATAAACATAATCAGCACATTAATTTTTGTCCGTTTGTATTTCCACCTAAAATTTAGAAATATGTTGGGTGTTTTAATCATAAGCATTCAGGGTAGTTTAAATTGGTCGAGGCCTTCATCCTTATTCAGTTTCCGTTTTTAACCCTTTGTTGAGCCTGAAAGAAAAGATATATTATTTGCGCCCAGTACTTTGTTCTTTACGAAAGCCTATTAGGGTCAAAACTGAAATATGGAAAGGACACGAAATAATTTTCCTTATAAGGAAACGAAATCTTAAAGAAAAGATATATTATTTGCGCCCAGTACTTTGTTCTTTACGAAAGCCTATTAGGGTCAAAACTGAAATATGGAAAGGACACGAAATAATTTTCCTTATAAGGAAACAAAATCTTATAACATAACATAACATAACATAACATAACTAAATAAATAAAAAACGCAAAACAGTACGAAGTCATTTGGAGTCAGAAAGTGGAGAGAGATAGGATTTGAGTTGTGAGCGGAAAGTAGGCACCTAACTGCAGTCACCGAGGCCCTGAATAGGCAAAGGAACGTTTGCCATAGTGTGATGTCCGGACATATTTGGTATGATAAGCAAATTCTTTTTCTCTGAGCGGAGCGATCTTCCTGGGACATATCTATGAAGGAGATCAGCAAGATAGGATAGTGCTTGTCCCGTGAGACATCTGAAGACATAACAGAGAAGCTTGAATGTCATCATGTGTTCAACTGGAAGTCAATGCAGGTTGTATATAACACAGGAGTGATATGGCCAGTCTTGCGAGAGTGAGTAACATTCTATGTTTTGCACTCTTTGTAACTTGTTCAGCTGGGATCTTGCTGCACCCACCAGCAAGCTATTACCGTAGTCCAACCTTGTCATAACTAAAGACAAGACAAGTATGATATTCGACTGCTGAGTAAGAAATTTGCGGATGTGCCCTATGTTCCTTAGAATGAGAATACAGGTTCTAACCACATCGTTGACATGATTGTTGGGAGGCTGTTCCGGGTCTAGGGTGTCACCAAGATTTTAACTCACCTGCTGCCAGGGGAATGGTAGTATCACTGAACTGAAATGATTCAGTGCCACATTGCGCTCTTAGGCCTTTTGGACCAACAAATAGACTCTCGGTTTTACTGTCATTAAGCTTCAGCTTGTTTTCAAACATCCATAACTTAATATCACTGCAGCATTCGCCGAGTCGCAACAATGCAGCATTTTCATCTGATGGTGTGGGTCTGCAGACATCATGGAGCTGCGTGTCATCAGCACAGAAGTGACTTATCGGGTGCTTATCAATGACTGTACCTAATTCCTTAGTGTATACGGTGACTAATACTGGTCCAAGCACAGAACCTTGTGGGACCCCACACTTGAGCAGCACTTTCTCAGACAGTGATCCATTACTTCTTTGACAGAAGTTGGAGTACTAAGTAAGGATAAGATGAATGGATGAACAACTTCCTTATTACAATTAAGAGCGACGTTTCGGTGTAGGTTCTAACACCGTTATCAAGCAAGTGATCACTTGTAATATATTTACGTAATAACAAATTTGTTTTCGTTTTGTCCCGTAATGACTCATCTTTCTTTCAGTTATAACGAATTTGTTTTCGTTTGAACAAATACTTTTCCGTAATAACGAATTTTCTTTCGTACATTTTACATATATCAATTTTGACTCCAATAGTCTTTCGTAGGTTTTTGATGAAAAAAAACACACCCACAGTTGCATATATTTTCAGGGTGACTCTTTCACTCTCGGCCTATCTGAACCGGTGTCGATCAAATACTTCCCTGTGACATTTAAACAACCTATGTTTATCTGGTACAAGTGATTCGTGTGCTCCCACCATTCGCACGATATCAGTAGTATCGTTATTATTTGGGCGATTCCGGGATCGAATGTGTCCCTATACAAATAGCCTATATTTTATTAAAGCCGGCTAAATGGAATTGGACTATGGACTATCAGTAACTGGTTGATAGCAATGTACCTAGATGTCAACCCATGCTTCAGTCACCGGTTAGCCTGATCCAGACACGACTATTTACATTACAGGCCGCCAGGTAAAGGCTGTTTTACTGGACACCAGCAGCACCTGAAGCATCAGTACGTCCACATCAAGCCGTAGGTTGATACGTAATCAACCAAGTGTTAAACAGCCATCTCACTCGCTCTCTCTTAAAGGCCTGTCACAAACAGGACCCCCCACCCCCCCCCCCCACCCCCCCATCCCCTCCCCCCCCCACCCCCCCACCCCCCCCCCCCCCCACCCCCCCCCCCCCTCTCCCTCTTAGTCCCATGTACAGTTTCTACCGTCCGATCCAAAGTCAAATCAATAAAATAATTAACACATATCTAAGAATATCTTGGAACCTTGCATTCCATATATATATATTCATAAACAATAATACTCTAATACTCAAAAGACGACAAAGAAACTCGTCTGTGGGCGCAGCCGCCGGGAGCAGTGACATTCAGTACTCAGGCACATTCTATGTACACGTCTATGGTCGCAGTCATCGGGAGCAGTGACATGCAGTACTCAGAAACATTCTATGTACATGTCGCCACGTCTTCTTTAGCAGTCCGGAGGCATACTTTCCAGTTTATTGCTGACGATTTCACAGGCACGTGTTTCAGTTCTTGGAACATTTGACTGCCTGGCTGGGTTTTTTTGGCGACCTGAAATAGCAGCATGTCGAAATGTCAATAACTAATGATGTTTTGTTTTTGAGCCAATAAAGGAAACCAATCTGAAAAAGTTCTCTTTTGAAATAATATATAAGCATAAATTCTCACACACGGGTTGACATGTTACACGACTCCCAAGAGGGCGTATATATACGGCGTAAGATCGTTACCTTCTTGCCAACCCTAGCGCTTTATTGAGCACCTTGATCCGCCGTTGGTTCAGCAATGAAGGTGGGGCCGATTTCTGAAAAACAATTTGAGTTAACATAAACAAATGACTGTAGCCGACCATACATAATCTCGGTATTGTTCGACAACCTCCATCTGGGGCCATGTGCATTCCTACGTGATAGGGTTTAGTGTTGGGTAAAGATATAGGCACACGGTTATATGTTGAGTAAGTGAATGTCAACGATATACCATATACACTACCCAGAATATAAGCTCCATGTGATGCTAATGTTAACCCCGTCACGAAGTTATTATTTCTTTAAGCTGTAGCATGACAATGGGAACCTGAGGTTGTTTGTTGTTCAATGACGCACTCAGCAATATTCCAGCTATATGACGACGGTCTGTAAATAATCGAATCCAGACCAAACAATCAAGTGATTGACATTTTGCGCATCGATCTACGCAATTGGAATACGATGACATGCATCAACCAAGTCAGCGAGCCAGACCACCCGATCCCGTTAGTCGCCCTTACGGCAAGCATAGTCGCCTTTTACGGCAAGCATGGGTTGCTGAAGACCTATTCTACCCCGGGTTGGGAACATGTGGAATTTAATACCTGTGTGAGCTTCATCCTCTTAGAGCAGTCGACTTCTCGCAGCGCGTCACCGCCACGCTTACCCATGTGCACGCAGAAGACGTCGGCTGGACAGGGACTAGATCCGGTTCGGATGTCACGGTCGGGTCGAGATCCTGTAGGTTACAGAACCGATGCACTGCAGGCGAGGGACTATACAGGCATGATGCCATATGGCCTCACTGACTTTACTCAATAGACACAGGTCAAATATGTGTTTACGGTGTCAGTGGGGTTAATGGTTGATAAGATGTGTTTGTTTGTTTATTGTTTAACGCCAGACTCAGCAATATTCCAGTTATACGAAAACGGTCTGGAAGTAATCGAGTCTAGACCAAACAATCCGGTGATTGACATTATGAGCATCGATATACGCAATTGGGATACAATGGCATGCATCAACCACGTCAGCGAGCCTGACCACCTGATCTTAGTCGCCTCTTATGACAAGCCTAGTCGCCTTTTACAGCATGCATAGATTGCTGAAGACAAATTCTAGGCCTGATTTAGGCGGGTATAGTTGATATGAACATGTTCACACTGCATATAATATACATAAACAAATATTTCGTTGGGTCAGTGTTTTGGGTGCAGAGGGTATATATACGAACTGATAAGGGAAATTCTAGCGTAAAATGACTGCGGCAGCGTTTATGTATAAGCATATTGGATTGCGTGAACGATTGACCTGTATTATATACGTACGTTTCCTGCAACCGACAGTAAAACAAGTATTACCTGTCTCTGGCAATGTGGTCGTGGGCCGACTGTGTCTCCTCTCGGCTTGAGATCGACGTAACGTCAGAGCAGCTTGTTCCTCCCACCACAGTGAGTTAGGCGTGTAGCTCGGCAGGTCGGGTACAGGGCAATAGTCGAGGTAGCCATAGTGGTTAGTGAAGCAGCGCTTGGGACATGGAGCCAGCACAGACCGGGGAGCAGTCGGGCCCGGGGAAAGCTCGGGGCGTAATGGTGGTCCATTCAATGGATGAGTAGGAAGACAATGACGTGACGGGGATGACCTTGAGAACCGAGGGAACCTTGACTGAGGGGGCGATACCTCAGCGCACGCAGAGAGACTTGAGAGTCGGGAGGGTGATGTACAAGGATGTTGTTTGGGGCTGGGTCGGGTCGATGGTTCATCCAGGAATGGTTTGAAAGTATACAGGGAAGTTGCCGCACCAGGCTCGCGGGGTGTTATATTCAGGCGCGGTGGAATCCTGTGTTCGGGAGGGGACATATTTTGGCGGAGAGGGAGATCGAATCGTGACGACAGTGTGTGACGACACTGGGGTAGCCATGGGGAGCTTGTCTGGATGTGTGAATATTGGGTAGGTGGGGGCCTACATGGTATGGCATACGTTGTGTGTAGGTTGATCCTATCACAGTGGGGTGAAGGTGGGCTATGGCTGTTACAGAGTATTTTATTGGAAACAGGTGATATGTCAGGGTATTTATTTGGCGCGGCTTGGGAAAGACCGTGCTTTATTGGGGATATATAGGCACAGCGTGCGGGCTGTTGATGTGATGATACAGGAGAATTCGACCTTGACAATGGTGGTTGTCTGCTGGAACGGTTGGTCAGCGAGGAACTTTGATTGTGTCTTGATGATCTGCAACCGTACATTGAGTGAGACCGTTGAGGTTCTCTGGATTGTCCTCTCCATAAGGGGGACTGGTGGTACATGCCAGCTGTATTATTTAGCACTGTTTGGGATTTTACACTTGACGTGTACAGTTGAGAGCCATCGCCGTGTTGCTTGAAGTGAGATGGCGACTCGGTGCCCCGATCCACCTCGTGTGCATCTGTTGGGCGTGTCCGTGGGTGTGGGTGTGTGGCAGGACCAGCCCCACCTGTTACTTCTCTAAGAGAAAACTTGGCATGTTGATGGGCGTGACATCGTGGAGGCATGTGTTGGTGTGCAGGATACCTGAATGATGGCGGGAGGGCGAGTTGGCTACATGCTGCAGATCCCGAGTTGTACCGGTCCCTATCTGGGAGGGATGCAGATCCTCCTGGGTTGTACCGGTCCTTATCTGGGTGGGATGCATATCCCGGGTTGTACCGGTCCCTATCTGGGTGAGATGCAGATCCTGGGTTGTACCGGTCCCTGTCTGGGTGAGATGCAGATCCTGGGTTGTACCGGTCCCTATGTGGGTGAGATGCAGATCCTTGGTTGTACCGGTCCCTGTCTGGGTGAGATGCAGATCCCGGGTTGTACCGGTCCCTATCTGGGTGAGATGCAGATCCCGGGTTGTACCGGTCCCTATCTGGGTGAGATGCAGATCCTGGGTTGTACCGGTCCCTGTCTGGGTGAGATGCAGATCCCGGGTTGTACCGGTCCCTATCTGGGTGAGATGCAGATCCTGGGTTGTACCGGTCCCTGTCTGGGTGAGATGCAGATCCCGGGTTGTACCGGTCCCTATCTGGGTGAGATGCAGATCCTGGGTTGTACCGGTCCCTGTCTGGGTGAGATGCAGATCCCGGGTTGTACCGGTCCCTATCTGGGTGAGATGCAGATCCCGGGTTGTACCGGTCGCTATCTGGGTGAGATGCAGCTCCTGGGTTGTACCGGTCTCCTATCTGGCTGGTTTGAGAAAGTCTCGGTCTCAGTTCTGGAAACGATAAATTATCATGAGAATATTTTGATAGGATAGACGTTTTGCTACACGTGACATTTTACTGGACGCCTATCCGTTATGTTTGTTTGACCAGAGACCATAAAATATTGTATGGTCTCTGGTTTGATGCTTCTATAAAATAGCTGAAAATTGGACATCAGCATAGAAAATAGAAATTCCATAATGATACGCGACAACCTCATCAGTGACATCCATCGGTGCCATTTCAACAAACTTTGGTAACTAATTACACAGGCACTTATTTCAAGCCGTTGCGTAGGGGACAATGCCCCCCAAAACACTGTTATTTTAGAGAGACGGCTAAATATGGCATCTAAAAATCTTAGAAACCGCTGGGCCCACTGAGGAAGGTAGCGCACATCCATTACCAAAATGGCGGAAATTCTTACTATCGACCATAGCAACATACAAATGTAAGCGACATGAATTGTTCGTTTCCCTGTGAGGTGCTTCCTTGGATCTTCTGGGTAATGTTCTAAACACTACACGTATAGTATTTTTTCCTGAAAAATTGAGGATGAAAACAAACTATCGGCATTGTTTCAAAACTGCAGGTTTCTACCTCTTACCTGTATGCATCCTTCTCTTTAGTATCCCACCTTTAGTACCATAAGTTTACTGATACTCCTCGAATGATTACTTTGTAACCATAGTCACCAAAACGTCATTGTAGTATGACGTCATGATTGTGTACAATCGAGGCTCTGTGACGTCAAACATCACTTCGCTGGTTTCCGCCGCTAGCCCGATTAGACACATAAAAATAAGTTTGTATTATTTATTTGGTGTATCGTACTAAAATCCTTTTAAAAATTGGCCAATGAATTCAAAACGTAAAGATTATTTAATTAATAATGTGTTTATTTCATTATTGACCTTCACATTTAAATCAACTTAAGTTTACTGTGAAAAACGTAGAATTCGAAAATAAGTGTATTTGTTTTTACAATTTTCAGGTTTAAGAGTAAACGGAGAAATTTTTTTAAAATTTATAGTCGACACGGTTTGTATAAGTGTTCAATTCAACAGAAACCAGTGTAACAAATGCAAGCACTGTTAGCACTTTTGTATATTCAGGAAGTGTTTTGTCAGAAAATTCCATGCATCGTTTTGCACACTGCAAATTAAGGAAAATATAACAAGACAGAAGTCATGAACATGTTATGATTGCGAATTGTGGCATGGGGGATATTATAGTATTGGTGTACTTTTTATGCCTAACACCGTATAGGCTGAACCACCAATCAAATTCATTGTTCTATTTCCATTGGACTTCCGGGTCAATGGCGCCGAGTTCAATCTTGTAAACATGCACGGACACATCTATGGCCTATCTATCTCTGCACAAGTACACAAGCATATGACTACAGCCACCTGCATAGCGCTTTACTAAATAAAACATACATGTGAGTGTGTTGCGGATGTTAGTTGATTAGTTTGTGTTACTGAAACGATAGCGATTGTATTGGAGGCCTATTTTCAGTGTTGATGACAGCTGCCTCATCGCACACGTAAATAATCAAACAAATTGGTTTGAAAATAGCAAAAAGAAAAGAAAAAAAAAGAAGAAGATCTATGCCATTACATACACGCTGGATAAGTATTGCAACACTGTTACTCTATGGGGTAGTTGTATTATAGCTGAGTTGTCGTGAAATTACACGGGCACTTTTGTCAAGGCATGTTCGGACTTGCCCGACCAATTGCTGCAGAGCGGCGGTTTTTAGAACTATCCTACAGGATCGCGTTGTAAATACTAGGATACTGTCATTGACGTTACTGGACAAAGTCAGAGGATATGTACATTTTACATGTTGATGTAGGATATGATATACATGAAGTCTATTAGTGGAATATTGTGAAATGTAAAGACTGTGCTGGATCTATTTGTTTGTTGAGGAGTCCGAGTGACCAGGTATGTGACAGGGGGACTCTTGGGCCACAACAAGAACATTTAGTTTGTAAGTGTGCCTTTATGTTTGTATCTGGTTGAATCTTGTAACATGATAAGTGTCATATTGCATGGGTTGTGTTGTGAAAGGTGAATACTGTGATTTGTGTTGTGGAAGGTTTAATATGTGGTGTGATCATGCAGTTTACAGTCACATGTTACACTTACAGTTAAATATGTTCATGTGATCCTGCATCAGTGTTATGTATCATATTATCCCTGGACCTGACAGCTTTATTGTGTCTTAAGTTAAATAATATGTTAAAGTTTTGAACAAAAATGTTTGTTAAATAAAATTGTGTCTCATTTATAAGGGTGGAAGTATGATATATGTCTGTCGATGTGTGTATTTTAGTAACATACGATGTGACCATGTTCACAAAATTTCATGTGTGCTAACAACTTTAATGACATACTGTATAAAAAAACCCATGTGCAACTGTTACCAAATGCTGCTTAAGTACAAAGATAGCCTCTTTGGTAAAGTGGGTGGTGTGTCTGGCCAAAAAGTGGGAGGTCTGGGGTTTCACTTCCCAAACACATCATACCAAAAAACGTTTAACAGATGGTGCTTGCTGTTACCCTACCTGTTGCTGGTCATTTAGGGGATAAAACAAGGACTGGTTAGCTCGTAGTCAGGAAACTGTGTCTGAGTGGGATATCCACAGCGTCATGGTATCTCAGTGGCCTTGCACTATAAAAGCGTCATTAGTTAGCCCAAACTTGTGAACACTTAAGTACAAATTATGTAAAAAAAATCACATGTTTCATAACTCTGTATTCACTCACTCGGCAGCATGACTCCCGAGAGTTTCTAGACTTTGGTCCTGCCCCACACTGGTGCCTGATTAGGCAAGTGACGTGTTAGAAATATGCCTTAGTTCACCCAGCAGTACAATTGGGTTCCTGGAAGGATGAGATGGTATTGTGAGTGTTAACCTTCTAGCGCCTGACAAGGGAGCTTGTGTTGTATCTTCAGGGAGCTATTATTATTATTCATCGTGGTTCAGACTATTATTTTTCTCAAATGTGAGGTGAAATGGGGTTTTAACATTGCATTCAATATTATTTTTGGTGTGTGTGTGTGTGTGTGTGCGTGTGTGTGTGTGTGCGTGCGCTAGTCCAGACTAATGCCGATTTTGAATGATAGCCCACTGAGATACCATGCCACAGTTTAACATGAATACCCCACTCAGACACAGTATATTGAGCCGACCAGTCCTTGTTTAAACCCCTAAATGCTGAGCGCCAGGCAGGGTAACAACAAATGCCATCTTTTAACGTCTAGTGGTGTGATGCGCATTGAACCCCGAACCTTCCCCTCTCCGGACAGATGCTCTACCACTAGACCATGGAGAAAGTCTTTCTAAAAAGAAGATATGGCATCATCATTTCTGATTATTCTTTCTCATTGGTACATGGGATCTATAATGAAAACCTCATCAAATCTTTTTTTCATGCAGATAATTTGTTTTGCTTGCATCGTGAATATATTCAACAAGTACACCTGTAAATCACGATTTAACGTTGTGTGAAGAAAGAAATACTTGTTAGGGTAACCAGAACAGAGAAAGCCGTCATGCTTTATTGAATGTTAATTAAACAAATTGAAAGATTAATGTTGTGAAATATTGTGTTGTGTTTTTCAGGACTGACTTGTCCAATGATCTCTGTTGCATGAGTTGCACCTTATTGGGAGTGAGGTGTAGTTTAGTCACCCCCTGAGCATAGTGTCTTACAGTGAGGAAGATGTCAGCTGAAACTGTCGTGTTGAGTCCTGCACTGCGTTGACCACCTGCTCACTCTGTTGTTTTCCTGCACTTGTTCTTGTGAATGATGGCTGGTGGTGGTACATATTTCTCCAGTGAGAGTGATGAGTATTATCTCCCCTCCAGCAGGCAGAGGCGCCACCCCCATGACATGGGCGACACGGATCCCCGGGTGCAGGAGCTCACTGCCAATCTGCAGGTGAGGTGGCTAAGCAGTGTGATGAGAGCTATTTGCATGAATAGTGTCATAGATGAAAACAAAGGTATGAGAAGCAGAGTGCCTTTTGTAAAGACCATAATGTTGAAAAGGATTCTGCCAGGATTACAATTCAACTTATTAACTCGCATATACTTACCAGTTATTCCCCTGATGAAGGGGCAAGAAGTAGCCAAACAATAAAGAACTTGTACACATGAAATCTCACAGGTATCAATAAGATTTCATGTGTACAAGTTGACATCTTTCTGATGTTGGATTGTCATCAGTGATTGACCAATTGTTATTAAATAGTGAACAAAAAAAGTCATGAATATTTTGGAGGATATTGTTTTTGTAGTGAAGAATGAGTACACAATTTCATTATAATATCTCCCAAAATATTTATGATCCCTAACTCTATTTTTTAAGTGGATTGTGGAGAAAACAAGATTGAAAATTAAAAACATATCTGTGACGTCTATCTATTGTTAAATGCTCCATTGTTTTTCAGGAATGGAGAGTTGTTTGTCAATTATACATTATCTTGAACCAAAATTTCAGTTAATTTGCATTTGGAAATATATAATTCTTTTGACAAATGAATAATTTCAAATTTGTAGGAAAACGTGTCGCCAGCGGGGTTCGAACCTGCATCATTTGATTTGAAGACGTGTTTTTGTCGACCTCAGCCTCGGCAACACAAGAATGTATAGTGTGACATTAACTGTTAAATATTTTCATAATTTTGAAAAATGATTAAAAGCCGAAAAATAATATGTATATGTATATAATGTTGTGTTAGAGCAGGTTACCTGTAGCAATGTTCATATTTATAGCAATTAGATAAACCTTCAGGTAAACATATAAAGATATATCCTTGTTCGGGACTCTATATCTCTTATCATGCCCATCAGCATGTATAGTAATAATGTGCAAGCGATTGATAAAATACTAGTTTAGGACCCCATGAAATTATGAAGAGCTGTGTACCATGCATTGTAAATATCAGCTCGCGACGGAGCTTGGTGCATGTGCAGCAGCAACAGAGAACGCATTCCTCGTGCATCACACAAGGGCGACAAACACAGTATAAATACAGACAACAAAGAGTTATGGTTTATTTTTTATATGCATTTCCACAAGAGAACATTTTGTCAAAGTGTAAAAGTAGGGATGGGTTTCAAGTTGGGGAATATCCTTGTAACTCTCCATACCTTAAACATAGAGGGCCTCAGCGCCTGCGGTGCCTCTGCTTCATTATTTTTAAGGAATGGAGAGTTACTTTGACATTCCCCTTCACATAAGTGTTTGTTTCAACTCTATACACAAGTTCACACCCATTGTCAAAATGACCTTACAATCTGTCATTTATGGGTTGAATGTCCACTTCAGTCAACCCTGTGGTTATCATGGTTGAGTCATTCATTAATGGGTTTAGCATCCATTTCTGATACAGTCAATTCTCTATCATGGTTGAGTCATTCATTAATGGGTTTAGCATCCATTTCTGATACAGTCAATTCTCTATCATGGTTGAGTCATTCATTAATGGGTTTAGCATCCATTTCTGATACAGTCAATTCTCTATCATGGTTGAGTCAGTCATTTATGGGTTTACCATCCCCTTGGCTCCAGTCAGTTCCATCTGTGGTTGTCATGGTTGTTTGAAGTACTGTAACTGAAAAACTTTAAGGTTTTATTTTCATCAAAGCTGTTGTTCAAAATGGAGGGTTTTATCTGAAATAGGTGCATGTCTATGCTTACTTTTGAAACATGAAAGTCCGTGGGAATGTCTTTGATGCATGTGTAGTAGTTCGCTGTCAGCACCTGTTGTTGTCCTCCATTGTCAGTTGGAGGAGTTCACGTTTCAATTCATATAAAGGGTGATAACTCTTTCTTTCCTATGTCTCAGTTTCACCATAAGGAATTGGCAAATGTCATATTGCACTTTTTCTGCAACTGAAATCACTTTTTCAGAATTGTTGGATATTTCTTTTTGATAGATTGACCACATTTGTTTTTCTCATGAGTATGTCATGAGTAAGTCACAATATATTTATGAAGTGACATTTTCTGCTGTGAATGTAATGATATTATCAGGTGAATTTTATGGCTGCAAAAGTACCAGCACCACCTCTTATTACACTTACAGACCTCTGGTGTCCTTGAGGCTTCTACTTACAACATACTTGAGTCAGACCTTTCTTTGGTAAAAGAAAGCCTGTTCACCCTTGCTCAGTTCTGTTAAGAATATTATGACATAATTCCTAGGAAAATTATAGACTCTCCATCCCTACATCTATGTTATATACCAATGTCTGCAAGAAATGGCACACTGTTCCAAGATATTGCTGTGTATGTTCTCCAAGGTACGAGGAGCATTCAATAAGTTTTGCAACTTCAATATAAGACCAAGTCGCAGAATATCTTTTGCACTTTTATTTTTCAATACAATCTCCATTCACCTCAATACACTTATTCCATTTGTCCTTCAAGCTTTTAATACCACTTTTATAGAAATCCGCAGATTGGCCCTCTAACCACGCCTCTGTGGCAGCCTTTATGTCCTCATCATCCTGGAAGCGTCTTCCATTTTTCGGAACAGGAAATAGTCACTGGGGGCAAAGTCTGGGCTGTGGGATGGGTGATTTAAATGTTTGAATCCACAATCACATATGGCGGCCTGTGCAATTCTCGACTTGTGAACCGGAGCATGTAAGGAACCTTATGACAGTGCGTTGTTCATGTTTGAGAGAATCCATGATTGTGACCACCCTTAGGTGAATGAAGCCATCACATCTAACTTATTGTTGTGTCTGGAACTTGTTATGACACATGTCAACCTGATGTTATGACTAGTGCCACACCTACCACAAGTTGACATTTGCCCACAAATGCCCAAGTTGCAAAACTTACTGAACGCCCCTCGTATGCCCATCATGCCTCGCTGAACCAAGGAGCCTGTCACCTTGTGTCACTTCCACCACAAGTCAAGTAGACCTTTAACATGGTTTACTTATTTCTTTCAAAGCCATGGCATCTGTTTGCCAGATTGAATATGACATAGTTAAACTTATGAATTTGACAGTCTAGTGTACATGGTATTTGGAAGGATGAAATGGAAGAAAAAAATTAAATGAATGAGCATGATGAAACATACAGAAAACTTTATGGATAACAGCCTCTTATAGCGACATTTTGCTGTAGGTTCCTACACCTTTATGGAGCTGTAATGTCTACAATCATGTGAAATCTCATTAAAATCAGATCTTAGTTCTCGCTACCGCTAATTAAAGATCTGAGGACATCCCATTACCGGTCATGTCAGAACAACCTTTGACCGATCAATGAAATGATTTAGAAGGAATCAATGGTAGCCAATCAGAAAGCACCTTTCTCGAGCTTTATGGCACTACTTTCAAATTGCCGACTTCCATTCAAGATGACGCTTTGAAAAATAACTTCACGATTCAAAATTTAAAAAACTGCAACAAAGAACCTTATGGATTGTCTAATAGATGGCCTATATTGTGTGACAGTACATCCCATGGGCTATGCAAAGTCTATTCAAATGTTCATCCCGAAGCGAGAGGTAAACGATGAGCAGTTGTACAGCTTGAACAGTCGTTCAGAATACCCTGTGTTTTACCTTTTGAGATTGCATGATGAGAAAAACGTTTCCTAGTGTCACTTTCCTGATCTGGTAAGCGACACTCTGATTGGTCGGATGAAAGGCCGTCCTGATGTGACTCTTAATGGGATGTCCTCCAGTCTTTGTTTTAGAGCTTGCAAGAACTAACATCTGATTATAAAGAGATTGCAACCAAGTGATGACTTGGTTGTAGTCATTCCATCTTGACAATGGTGTTTTCTTGATAACAGTTTTTTCTTATTTACTCACCAACGTCTAGAATACCAATGAAACAGTTATGATGGAACATAGTTCTTCTGTGAGTGAAACATCAGAGAGTCTACATATAGTTTTTATCATAATTGAAATTTGTTAACGGCCTTGGAGCAAATGAAGCATAGATATTTGTTTTCCTTTATTTGTTCACATTTGTGAAATTTTAGGTAAATAAGTAAAGTAAAAAACTTAGATGCCTCGACAATCGTTGTTACTCATTATTAATTATGGTCTCACTTTAATTTCAATGGAGGGAATGACATTCAAAATCTGATTCTTTTGTGTTCGTTTAGACTATGCAAATTTAATAAATATAGAAACTTATCTTTTTTATGGCTGGTGAATATGAATGCTTTCTCTCTGATTGGTCCAACACACCAAAGGTGCCATTAATCAGTCATATATCTGATTGAACAAGTTGAACATCTTTCAGCATTGACAGATACCTCCGTGCCCTGACTGCCTATTGAAGCACTTGTGCTGAGATCTATAGCTGTAGAAAATGATTAGTGTACAGTAAGATATAATGTCACATTTATTGATGTTGGACAAAGGGTGTCACTTGTTGATATAGGGCTGGAGGAATCAAATCATCAGACTTGAGAAGGGAATAAAGTAGACAGCAAGTTTTGAATGGGCACTCCTGGAAGGAGGTTTTACAACTTTCAAAGGGTCATGCTTGCAAACACACAGGGTGAAAAATGATATAGCACAGAGATCTCTCTCTCTCTCTCGCTCCGCTCTCTCTCTCTGATCTAACATAGATTTAGTACTACGGCGGACCAATCAGGATTCTAGAAGGTTGTGTTAGAATAATAACTGGATTTGTAGTTTACCCTGAACACCACAGGCTGTGTATGATTACTGCTATGTCAGAATGTTATACTAGCTATTTTAATCTGTTCCTCAATTCTTTCCTTGCTGATGTCCAAGCGGGAGTAAGCCAAATGGGGAACAATAACCTTGTTTGTATATTCCTTGCCTGCTCAACAATGATGCATTGTACCAGGATCAATCATACACTTGATATGCATAGGTTTTAGATAGAGTCTTATCAGTTTCTATGGAGAAAACACAGCTCACGGGTGCCCCT